GCTGCTGGTGGTGGGGGTGCAGCTGCTGCTGGGGCTCCCCGCCCTTAGCCAAGGTAGGCGTCCCGGGGTCCCCGGGGTCGGGGCCGGCGCGCCCGGCGAAGTCGAGCCTCTTGGCGCGGGGGTAGTCTCTCTGAGAGCCGGGTCCCTCGTCAAAGTTTTAGCCGGGCAGATGTGGCCGCCCCGGAGAGAGAGAGAGAGAGCGAGCGAGAGAGAGAGAGCTTCCAAGGACAGGCGCAGTGTGCCTGCGGCGCGGGGCCTCCCCCCTTGGGCTCCCCGGCGCGCCTCGGGCAGCCCCGGGGGCTCATCCTGCGCGGCTGGCTTGACCTGCAGCTCACCTGAAAGGGAAGAAAGGCCCCGGCGCTGGCTGGGCGCGAGCGTGTGTGTGTGTGTGCGTGTGCGCGCGTGTGTGTGGCTTTTGAGAAAGCGACTTCGGTTTACGAAGCGAAACCTGTCCGACCGGATCGGCCACCTGCCTGCCTGCCTTGGTGGAGAAGAACAAGGGCTTTTAAAAAGGAGACCTGGAACAGGTGGAGAGGCTTTAAAAAGCCACCCGCCCCGACCTGCCGGCGGCTCCTGTAAAAGTTTGCCAAAAGTTTTGGCTTCCCGGGCAACGCGCGTTGCCCGTGGCAGAGGAGGCCGTGGATATGGAGGTCTGGGGGGGGAAGAGAGGAGGGAGCCCTTCTATCCCTGCTCATAGGGAGCAAGCACACCGTCTCCACCCCACCCACGAGAAATCCCTGGAAGAGGAGGCCGGGGAACGTCCTCCGAGAGGATAGTGCCCGACCAGGGCTTTCCGCGGCCGCCGACAAACGAGGGAGGAGCCCCCGCTCTTCGGATCCTTAAATGGGCAGCCAAGCCAGGGCGGCTTCCCAAAAGATTTCTCAGTCGGTGGATCCCAGTTTTTAAATCTAGTTATTTATCTCCTCTATTTATATACCGCCCTCTTAGTGCGCAAGCTGCTTACACCGAGCCGGCCGATGCCTTCCGGGCGCCCGCATCCACTTTGTAACGTGTGGAATAATCTGTGGGTTGGTTTTTTTTGGGGGGGGTGCTTTTTATCAGGAGGCATTTGAACTTGAAGAGGGAAAATCTTCGGGTAGGTGTGATTTGAACATCAGTAGGAAAACTAACTTTGAAAAACTGCCCCGCTTCGCTTGCGGGAATGTAATTTTTTTTCTCTCCTTTTCAATTCTGTTTCGTGAACATGCGTAGGATTTCCTGTATTCGTAGCCTCTGGGTCACCTCCCTCTTCCTTTTTCTTTTTTACTCATTACGATCTGAGGACGGATGTCAGAGGGTGTGCGTGTGTGTGTGTGTTTTGTCTGTAGATCTCAGTCATATTTGGGGAAACAACCCGGGGGAACCCTGAACAAAACTTTAAAAAGTTTGATCATTCAGGGTTTTCGAAGCTACCTTTAGGGAAAGGAGCTCACGGGGTTGTTGTTTTTGCTGAACTCGAACTCGGCTCCCCCACCTCTGCCCCGCGGCCAAGAACTGCAACTTGTTTTGGAATTTGCAAGCTAAATGTGGGGCCTGTGGCACTTCAGTGCAGGTGGGGGCCTGACTCGCTCCCTGTCGGTGATGTTCCTTCTCAGTCGCCATGCGTGCATGCAGCGCTTCCTCTCACCTTGTTCCACTCCTTTTGCACTGTGACCCTGCTTGGGGGTCTTGGACAGTGTGTGTGTGTGTGTGTGTTTGTGTGCACATGCACTTCTGTACAGCCTGAGGTGAGGCACTAGATTGCAGGGCTTCTGCAGCTGCTGAATAGCTTGGTGGTCTTCTAGGCTTCTGGCTTTGGAGTCAGCAGTTAAGGGTTCGATTCCCCCCCAGTGGGGCCTCCTTGACAGGGGCTGGACTGGATGATCTAGCGGGCCCCTTCCAGCTCTGCAGTTCTAAGAGGAGGAGGATTCTTAACTGTTAGAGCAGTAGTACAGCAATGGAAGCGAAGTTCTCCAGAGGTGGCGAACGCCCCAACGCTGGAGGCCTTCAAGGGAACATTGGACCACCCTATGGTCTGATCTGCTTGGATTTGGGCTCATGCTTGGAGCAAGGGGGTTGGACTGGATGGCCTTCCAGACCCCGTCTGACTCCAGAATTCTAGGATGCAATGAGAGGGACCTACAGGATTCCGAAGGGCACCAGGGGGGAAATTTCCCTCCGGAGAACACAAGCTGCCACGTGGGATCCAGGTGTGGGAATGTTGGCAGACTTTTGGATGGCCAAGAACATGTGGTGGAAATTCATGGCTAGGCTTCCTCCTTAAATAGCAGAGACCCCCCCCCCTTCACTTTACAAGAGTGGGGCAAAGCCAAGATGCCATTGCTGGCCGTTTTTGATGGAGGACACCAAATCTCCACCAAAAATCACCCATTCCAAAGATCCAGGATATTCTGAATTTCAGTCCTGCTTGGAAGATGCGGTTCTGCGGAGGATCTAAGCCAGGATATGACCGTCTTCCCTCCCTGCTCCAGAGGTCGTGAGCCACAGGAGCCGAAAACAACGGGGGTGTGTGTGTGTGTCGCTCACCCAACCTCTCCCCCCCTGCAGGCAGGGCGATCCATCTGTAGCCTCCGGGGACCCCCTCAGCCTCCCCACCTGGCATGTCTCCAAAAGCAGCTTCTCGCCCAGAGGTTTGAGTGGCCCAAGATCTCGGGCCCTCCAGATATGGGGGGGGGGTCTACATTCCCTGTCATTCCTGGCCAGCCCAAAAAGGGTGGAGACGGAAGCAGAGCTAAGAGAAAGGTGGATGGGGGGTTTTTTTTTCCCCTTTAGGGGCTGAGTAGGTGCAAGTCAGTTCATCATCATCATCATCTTAGAACTGCACATCTGGAAGGGACCCTATGGGTCATTAAACCCAGCCCCTGGCAAGGAGGCCCAGTGGAGGAATCGAACCCCCAGCCTCAGATGCCTAAACCCCAGAACTCTCCAGCAATTCATTAAGCATCGTCATCCTGTTAGAGCTGAGCTGGAAGGGACCCTATGAGATCATCCAGTCCAGCCCTTGTCAAGTGGGAGACCCAGTGGGAGAACCGAACCCCCAACCTCTGGCTCCTGAGCGGGAGACCCACTACGGGGAGGAGGCACTGAATGCTTCTGGTGCCCCTTATGCCAAGAAGCAAGGGGGAGGAGGGCATCTGGCCCTATAAGGGCAGGTCGGGCAAGGGAGCCTTTTTGCTAGATTTGGAGTCGCAGTTGGGATGTTGTGACTTCTCCCCACACAGACACACACACACACACACTGCTATGATTGGACAGCCCGGAGGTGTTACTTGTGTGTGGGGGGGGTGGGGGTATCTGTTCTGAGCCTGTTCCCAGCCCTCTGCCAAAGGTTTGGGAGTGCCAAAAGCCTGGGGTTCCTCCCGCGCTGGCTGAGCGCCGTGGCAGAGCAGAAGGGGGAGCCTGCCGAATCTTTGTCACGAGGCCCGAGAGTCATTTCGCTTCTCCCTTCCGGGAACCAAAGAGGAACTCTTTTGAGCGAGCCTGCTGTGGGGCCCTGTCTAGTTTCGCTTTGCGAAGGCTCTTCCGAGCAACCGAAATTGCAAGACAGCCGGGCATCTCTTCCCCCTCCCCTCTCTGCCACCCGATGGTTCAGTAGCCGGCAACTGGGAAACCCAGAGCAGGGTGTGTGTGTGTGTGTGCGTGCGTGCGTGCGTGCATGTGTGTCTATGCATGCGCATGCTTTGCATGTGGTTGGGTCTGATGCAGGCAGGTATTGAGTGTCAAGGGGTTGGGATCCGGGCCGGCATGTCAAGACAGCCAGCAGGATCCCTGGCTTCTGACAACGGGCCTGCTCTGATTTCCCTCCTTTGTTCGGAGTGGGAGAGCCTCTGCTTCGCAGCTGTTGCTCTTTCCCACGAGTGAGGGGGTGGGGTACGTGCACGCGCGCCCCCCTGGTCCTTGCTTTACAACTCTCTCTCTCCCCCCCCCTCTCTCTTCTTCGCCTCCGTCTCCTCTGTCCGGCTCCTGGGGCCAGCTTCTCTCCTTTTGAAAAGCCATGAATATCTGAACAGTGTGTGTGTTCAAGAATTGCTCTCTGTGTCTGTGTGTGTGTGTGTGCACGCGCACATGCACACACACACACACACACGCCTGCATCTGTCTGCAGTCAAGAAAGAGAGAGAGAGAAGAGTCTAAAACCGGATGCCCGTGAATAAAAACCCAGTCTTGTTGAATTTGAGAACTTTTTCTAGAAAAATCTCCACCCTGCTGGGCGAGAGAAATCTTTGCCGGTTGAAGATCTGTCTTCCTCACCTCCACCTTGAAAACCTGTTAGAGGGTCTAGTTTTGCTAAGTTTAGGATTATGGCTGAGGCAGGCCTTTTGGGGACGAAACCCAACATTTCTGTTGACATCTGGAGGCAGAGGAAATTCTCCTCTTTCGTGGGAGAGGAATTGAGGCCCGGTCTATGGATTTTATTTTGATCCCCAATAAGCTGAGCGTCAAGACGGAGAATTGACGCCTTTGTGACCCCAGGGAAGAGCTGTTCCCTTCACCCTGGTGGAAGTGGCCCTTTGCTTCTCTTTCTCCCTAGACAACGTCTGTCAGGGTATCCGTGTCAGTGCGAATGGAGAGGGCGGTTTCCTGTCCCAACACAGCAGCTACTTTCCTAAGACCGTTGGGGCGATGGTTATATCACCAGTTACAGCTGAGGTGCAGATGGTGCGCTTGGGCCCATCCAGTGGGTTTCATGGCTGAGTGGGGTTTCGAACCCAGGTCTCCTGGGTGCAGCTTTTGAACCCACTTTACCGCCTTTACCTCTTTTGAGCCCTCCGGCGATCTACAGCTGAAGCATTCCTGATAGAGTCGGACGAACCTTGGAGCCATCCTAGAATCTGGGGTGCCCATTGCAGAGCCCTACTCCCCCCCCCCAAAAATGCCCTGGTCCATGGCTGACATTCCCCATGTTGTGCTCCCTCCTTTGTACTGTGACTTACCACCTTCCTATCACTTTTCTCATCTGAGGATCCTTCTAAGATCTTTAGAGGGCTGGCTCTAGTCATCGTTATGTCAAAGGTAGTCCTAGAGAGGAGGGGCAGGATCTGTTCTCCATCATCGCAGGGTTCAGGACATGTCACAATGGGCTCAAGGGACAGGAAGCCAGATTTCGGTGGATTACCAGGGGAAAAAAATCTTAAATGTTAGAGCAGTACGACAATGAAACCCATGGCCTCAATGGGAGGGGGTGAGCGCTCCAAGGCTGGAGGCCTTCAAGAGGAAATGGGACAACCATCCATCAGATTTGCTTGGATTGGGATTCCTGCCTTGAGCCGGAGTTGGGGGGACTTGATGGTCTATGAGTTGATGCTGATGGCTTCATGGCATCCTTGATGTATGCTAGGAAGTCAGGATGGAAGCCTTTGCCCGTCCAAATCATTTGGCCCCGTACGTTCCAAAGTGGCCGTCCTGTGGCTTGGGGGTTCCTTATTTCTGCTCCTGGACTTTTTTAATTATTATTTTGCATGTGCAAAGAGATAAGATTGTGAACGCTAGATGTGGCTTCTGGCCAGAGATGGGGAGAGATCTCCCACGGGGTTGAAGACCACAGACCGAGCGAGAGCCCATTTCTCTGACCAAGAATCGCTTGTCCGTCCTGCGGGCTAACTCTGTGCTTTCGTTGCAGGTTTCCGATGCACCCAGCCTTCTGAGTCCTGCTTGAATGGAGGGAGGTGTGAAACCTACCCCAACGGAACAGCCGTATGCCTGTAAGTATGACCTGAAAGACACGCTTTAGGGAAAGAGGCCCCCCTTTTTGGGGTTTCATGTGTACAAACAGACAGAAGCGAAGCTAGAAGATGCTCTTTCGATATGAGAAAAAGTAGTGGCGATTTCGTGGCCTTGCAAATGCCTAAGTGGCTGGCATTTTGCTGTGATGAAAAGGAAGGGGAGGGGCGTGACCCTCATGTGCCAGACAGGAGCTGCTGGCGGTCTGCCCTGGCGTGTAGTGGGGGGGTCCCCCTCTTAAGGCCACGTCAGCCTACACAGGGCGCGAGGGAGCTAAAAGTTGTGGATTTGAAGATGATGAGGAGCTCTCCGTGGCAGCTCAAGTAGCTGCGTTTGTCCGTTGGCATTTGGAACATTGGAACGTTCCCTCTCCAAATGAGAAATGCCATGGCCCACCTTAAAGGGCTGTTTGGAAGACCCATCTGGCGGAGGTGCCTCTTTGGCCCGGCCGAGCGCTTGCGTCAGGAGAACGCGTTTTCCTGGAGTGGGTCCTCCTGTGCTTGTTTGTCGAGGAAGGGTGCCGTCCCCGGGTCATAGAGAAAGGAGCACTACGTTTTAACCAGAAACACACAACCAAAGCAAAACAAGAAGACATTGTAGCACCTTAAAGACTTAACCGGCTACACTGTAACATAAGCTTTTGTGGATTGAGTCCCCTTTTTGTCATGTCCTCCTCAACTCGCTTGCCCTGATTGAATCTCTCCGCTGGATCTTTTGACCACCAAGAACCGAAGGTGGAAACTGGATAAAGCCACCGCGTAGGATGAGCCTGGCTAATTCAGAATATAGTTTGCCAGTCTCAGGAAGAGATCCGTATGGGAACCAGCAGATCTGTGCCATCGATGGGCTTCGGTGCCTTTCGCGCTGAAACAGGGGTTGTGTTGAGGAACGTGTGGTGGGTTGGAGAAGAGAGAGATTCCGGATGTTGCAATGGACTTTCTAGGCCAGAAATCGCATCTTGGAGTCGGAGAATCATGGAAAGGGACCTCGAAGGCCATTGAGCCCAACCCTCTGCTCAAGGCAGGAACCGAAATCCGAGCAGATCTCACGGACCGCTGCTCAAGGCAGGAACCCAAATCCGAGCAGATCTCACAGACCGTCGTCTAATTTCCTCTTGAAGGCCCCCAATGTTGGAGCGCTCACCACCTCCCGAAGTCATGGGCTCTGTTGTCGTCCTGCTCTAACGGTTAAGAAGCTTTCCCCCCAAGATTCAGCCTAAATCTGGCTTCCTGTCGCTTGAGCCCCTTATTATGAGGCGTCCCACACTCTGGGATGACCCAGAACAGATCTTGCCCTTCCTCTACAGGATGACCTTTCAAGTATTTGAACCAATAATAAGTCATTGGCGATGGTATGGCCGGGGGAGAATGTGGGCACCTGAGCCGCGTAGAATTCCTTACTACGAGCAAAGTTGGGCGGTCTTGTTGGTCTAACATGCAAGACCAGCGCTTGCCTAGTAACCAGTTGGCCAACCATGGATCGTGGCCAAGAAGACCCAAGGAACTTCTGGTTTGCTGTACCTTTCTCCTCTTTCTCTAGCTCCCTGGCCTGCTTGTTTCTACTCGGGAGTAGGAGCCTGAAGTTCAGTGCCAATGACTTGTAAACCTTGGTGGGTAGGTTAAACTTCTTTCTACCTGCTCACTGCAAACCTTCTTAGAGGGATCTGCACAACGCAGCTTTCCGCTGGCATTTTTATC